TGAAGTGCCTCCCGGTCCAGGTAGGGCCGCAACTGGTGCACCAGGTGAACCTGGGCGAAGGCCCCCCTGGTCACAGCCGACAGGTAGTGATCTAATGTCAGCTGCGAATCCAGGAGGACACCCAAGTTGCGGACCCTCTCTGAGAGGTGAAGGTTTTATATTTTAATGTCTTCACATTTATTTTTAAAAGTAGCTATCCAAATTTCAGGTGAAATCTGTGTTTTTATTGTTAGTTTTATTTTTCTGCCCTTGAAAAAATAGCTCCCAGAATTTTGTATTGTTATTTTGTAAACATGACAGTTTTAATTCTTGCCACTGGCTTTTATGTTTGTTCAACATTATCAATGCTTTATGTTTTTTGGTATTTATCCCTGACTGCCTCTACCCTGTCAAATGATTTATTTTCGTAATCTGACTAATCTAGCCAGATCCTTCACAAATTTTGCCTCTGATAAAATCTATGTACTGTATAAAAAAAGTCAGAATTCTTTCCATTTCTTTCCTTGAGATAAAGATATACCCATCAATCTACATATGAAGATTTACACGACTCCCTTCATTTAAGCATTTCTGTACTCAGTGTTTTTCGATAAATATTTCTTACTGAAATACTTGAGCAGGGAACTGAATTGCAAAATTAAAAAAGGAATGTTCTGAAGAGAAATCATGAGTGAGTGGAAGAGGAAGAGGAAGGACTTTTTGCCATTTTTTAGTTTGAAAAATGAAAATATCACAATCTCCTTCAATACCCAATTTATGATTAAAGTTCATCATTCCTTAAAGTTGAAGCCCTTAAAGTGGAAGCCTATTCTCTAATTTCCCCTCTCCTGGTTCTCATTTTCTTCTCTTCCGGTGCTTATAACACATCCAAACTAATGTGCAAGAGGTCTCCATTCTTCTCCCATTGCATTCTAGCATAGTCTCCACTAACAAGAATCATACTCTATAATCTCTTCTTCTGCATATAGGGAGTCCTTGATTTACAACCATTTATTAAGAGCCGAGGTGGCGCAGTGGTTAGGGTGCAGCACTGCAGGCCACTTCAGCTGACTGTTATCTGAAGTTCAGCGNATCTTATGGGTCGTTGGGAGGTATGTGGCAGGAGGCGGTCCCGCAGATATCCAGGTCCCAAGCCATGTAGGGCTTTAAAGGTAATGACCAGCACCATGAAGCGCGTTTGGAGAGTTTCAAAACCTATGCATTTTATAAGTAAATGCATAGGTTTTGAAACTATTTGAAGTTGGCCTCTTGCCCTCTTTGAAGGCCAAGAGGGTGGGGGATAATCTCAACCTGAGGGCCACAATGTTACAAAGGGCACTGCAGAAAATTCACTTCTCATGCCTGTCAGAATTCCTTGACTGACAGGGTCCACAAAATCATCTTTTGCCAGAACAAATGGGTAGAGCGATGTTATTGGAGCGAAATGCTTCTTCAGGTATGCAAAGTGTTTTCACTATTCAAAATTTTCATTATTAGGGAAAAGCAAGATCATGGGAAGCAGCCGTTTATACTACCTATAGAAATTAACTAGATTACATTGCCAATCCCACTTTTATGAAAAGTCTACCTGTGCACCTGTGAAGATTTAGAACCTGCAAGAGAAATTAAAGCATATGCCGAGATTAAGGCAAAAAGTGAAATTACCATAAAACAATGGTGAATTGGGCTCTTAAAATGCTGTAAGTGGCATATTTAAATGCTGGTGTCTACCTGAAATTCTGCTTGAAGTTTCAGAGAATTTATGCAATTCAACCTCAACAGTCTATTAGACTAAAGGGTCAGTGATTCAATCAGTATGAGAACCTCTAAAGTCCCTTCCAACTCTGTTACTCTATTTCTGTGATCCTGCTCCTTTCCTTTTCCCTACTATCTCTTCTAAAAGAAAGTAATCCAACCCACTGCTCAAGTAGGAGCCCCTCTACCATTTCAGATAAATGGTTCTCCAGTCTCTTTTTGAAAGCCTTCAGGGATACCCATAACTTCTGAAGGCTGTTCCATTGGTTGATTGTTCTCTCCTTGGTTAGTTTCCATCCATTGTTTCTTGTCTTGTCTTTTGGTGCTTTGGAAAATAGTTTGACTTTTTTGTCTTTGCAGGAGACCTCAAATATTGGAACACTGTTTTCATGTCTTCCCTAGTCCTTCATTTCATTAGACTAGACATACCCAATTTCTGTAACTGTTCTTCATAACATTTTCCGTATCAAATTGTCTCACAATTCCCATCCACCCAGATTTATTCCATTATTCTACTGTAAAGGTCAAGGCATAATAAGTGATCTTTAATGTATAAACTTGCATTAATAAAATTCCCTTAGGAAAATTTGTTTATTTATAGCAATACTTCTTCCCCACATTACCTACTTTCAACAGGTAAATGATACTTACTTCCATTATGAAACTTTTTTTAAAAAAAACATACTTTAATCAGTACATTTATTAATCAATTTACTTATATCACTGCACAGTTAAAGAAATTTTTGCCTAAAACAAAATAAAAGAACGTAATATAATTTGCATATGTGAATGAGACATTAGCAATCTTATTAAGCTTTTAGTGGATTTGTTTTTGTTATTGTTATCCAAGACACTGCTTTTTACCCCTGATAGTTTGGGTTTATCTTCATAACTGATAACTTGATTACTTAATGACATATAATGCATCTTAAGAAGAATCCAATTCATTCCAAATGCATATTGCTATTACTATTAGTGTTAGCATTAGTACTTAGACTTATATACCTCTACGTAGTGCTTTACAATGTCAGCATATTGCTCCCAATAATCTGGCTCCTCATTTTTCAGACCTCAGAAGGATGGAAGGCTAAGTCAACCTTGAGCATTGTCAGGATTGAACTCCAGACTGTGGGCACAGTTAATTTGCAGTACTGCATTCTAACCATTGTTCCACCAGGACCCCGAAAATTTTGATATTTATGTCTGACACCTTTTAGAATTATAGAATTATTCCCATGGAAATTTTCTGAGGTTTGGAATGATCAACAGGATTTTGTTAATGGTTGATATGGCCAGCTAATTTCCCCTGAGGATTCTAATGCTTTTCTTTAATCTTACAGAACACCCAATGGAAATCAGATTAATGGAACAAGATGGCCAGTGTTCACAACCACTGAACAAACCTACTTAGCATTAGGCACAAATGCTGCAAAGATTCAAACAAAATTGCGGGCTCAGACATGCCGATTCTGGAACATCCTTTTTCCTAAAGTCCGGGATATGAAAGGTAATTTTGCTGCTAAATATATTTGTATTTAGTAAATTGGTTAAGTCAAGTTCATCTTGCTACTACATTTTAATTTCAATTTTAAGACTGTGTGTAAATAATTATTTTTTTTGTAAAATCAAATACAGAGTTTATTCTAAAAAGATAATATTCACTAAAACAAATATCTATTAATTTTAGATAGGCTCCCCCAACTCTACCCACCCTAACCAATTCTATTTTGTATGCTTGAATTCTTTTGCATGTAGTGAGGAATATCTTTTAATGGTATGGTCTGGATAGTGCTTCCAGTAGCATATAGCAACTCAATGTTGCTCAAACTCAGTGATTTCAAAATGTGTGGAGACCAACTTCCAGAATTTCTCAGCCAGTGTGTTCCAGTTCTAACATTCTGGGAGTTGGAGTCCAAACACCTTAAAGTAAAGTAAGGTTGAGAAATGCTCAGTAATTAATGTAAACAATGTTTGGTCAACAATTTCTGGAGAGCTGCACATTTCCTACCACAGCTTTGAAAAATGCAAGATGGTTGATTTCCTAGGAACCTCTAGTCATGGAGGTGATCACTAGAATCAAAATCCCATATTTGTTTGTTTGTTTATAAAATTTATTGGCTGCCCATCTTACCATAGGGTAACTCTGGGTGGCTTACAGTTATATACACAGTTAAAACATAAAAAGTTAAAATCAGAGATTAAAGCCAAGGATACATGGGGAGGGTGGGGGTAGAGTGGAAGAATGTGGGAATCTGTTATTACTCAATCAATTGCCTCCATTGCACTGTTCCCCACTGGGTCCCCAAGCAGACAAAGCCACATCTTTAGGCCCTTACAAAAAGATAGGAGGGTTGGGGGTAACCTCACATTGGGGGACAAGATGTTCCAGAGGGCAGGAGCAACAGCAGAGAAAGCCTTTCTCCTGGACCCAGGCAGCTGACTAGACTTGCAACATGCCTCCTCTGCCTGCAGAAGTGGTACAGATCAATCCAAGTGGAGTGAGACAGTCCCTCAAGTAACCTGGACCCATGCCAGATCCCATATGCAGACCACTGTATCATTTGATTTCTATGAGTACTCTTCAGGGGTGGGGTTCAATTTTTTTACTACCAGTTTTGTGGGTGTGGCTAGGCAGACGTGGCTTAGCAGGGGTCATGTAACTGAGTGGGCATGGCCAACTTGGGGTGAGAGAGCATTGAGGGGGTAGGCAGAGTGAGCAACCATCGAGCAGGCGGATAGGGCGATCAAGCGTCAAGTGAGTGGAGCGAGCGAGCGGCAATCGAGCGATGAGGTGGGCAGGGCCAGGGCCAGCCAGAGGTCATTACCAGTTCAGCGACCCAGGTCACATTTCCCCTACTGATTCACCAAAACTAGTGCAAACCAGCTGAATGGTATTCTTTCACAACACAAAATCATAAAAATATAACTGTGTTAGAGGGCAGACTTTTTTTCTGTAGACTAATGATGTTATCTGAATTCAAGCTGAAGCTTAGAATTCCACAGCATCATTTAAGACACCCAAATACAGGGAATATGAAGAAAAATAGATTGGCTGAAAGAATGGGCTGTGTTTTATATAGAAATTACTGTTGTTATAATAAAGCTTTAAGGCTTCAGAACGATGATAAAGTAGTACAAAAAAAAAAGCAAAGCAAGCAACTATGCTCATGTAAAGATTATAACAGCAATATAAAAATAGAAGCAGCGCAAAAGAGAATAAGATGGTGGAATGGATTTAGTTATAATTAGACACGCCGAAAAGAATGGGGATCCATGTTAGTTAAGGTTTCTTAAGTTCCAGTGATTTTATTTGGTCTACCTTTAGCATAATTAGATCTAAATTTGACCCATTATTTCTAAAATCACATTTGTACAAGCACTGTGCAAAGCTTCAAATCCCTTTAAAGCTGCTTCGCAAAGCAATATAGTTTAATAACATTGTATGAACCAATGACTGAGATAGAATACTAAAAATAGTTCAAGGGCACCTTGAAGTGTGGTAGTCATGTACATGGTGGATTCAGTAGAATTCTCATTCCTCCTATTTATTTCTTTTTAAAAAAATCTAAGTGGAAAGTGACCTCTCATGTTTAGGCCATTTATTCTGTCAAGTGCATGATAACACCATAGTACTTTCAGATTGTAGCTTATATAATATATCCCTAGTTATACTTACATTAGAATTGGAGATTTGCCCTTGCGTTATTTAATTACCACCTCGCCCAAGGTATGTATGAGTGTCCTGTCTACATTGCAAGAATTTATTCTTTCAATAAATTCCAAGAAAAATCACATGACAGCAGTCCTTCAACTTGTCATCTTTGTTTTCAACAATGATGCTATTATTAATGTTAAGGAGATATTTTGCTTTCAGAGTAGAGTAGACTACAGTAGAATATGGTAAGGTAGGGTAAGGTAGGGTAGGATAGGGTAGGGAAGGGTAGGGTACGGTAGGACAGGACAGGACAGGACAGGACAGGACAGGACAGAATAGAATAGTTTATTGGCCAAGTGTGATTGGGGACCCACAAGGAATTTGCCTCCAGTGCATAAGTTCTCAGTGTACATAGAAACAACGAATTGATATAATCATAGCATATAAATAGGAAAAGGTGGGAGAAAAGATGAGAAGGATATAGTAATACAGCCATACTGTACAGGTAAATATCTTTAGACATAAAACAGTACTGTGGTAATTAGGTGTTCAGCAGAGTGATGGCATGAGGGGAAAAAGCCAACCCCCTCTGGTTCTAGTGTTTGGGCATGCAATGCCCTATAGTGGCAACCTAAGAGGAGGAGTTGAAATAATTTATGTCCAGTGTATAAGCACATAATCTGTCCATAGTAAGTGTAAGATGAGAACAAATGAAGACCTGTAAAATATAAAGCCATTTCACAAAGGATATGTCATATTCTTTTGTCATACAATGAAATAAACATGTTCCTTGTGTGATGAGGTCCCTGAGATTTGTGGATAAAGCTACTTACCTTGAAAAATCATTGGATAATTTCTCCTTCCTTGTTATTAACATATTTATCAATTTAGTAGATTAAAAATTAAAAAGAAAAGCAATATGTGATGAGCTCTAGCCATTTCTTAGTGTCTCCTGCCTAATTCTGAACAGCTGGCTATATAAATCTTTCTTATTTTGCTGATCTATTATAATACCCAAAATCATGCTGCTATATTTTAAGTACTCTTCCTCAATTGGTAATATGGATAATTGATTATGTCAAGAAAATAAATTTGTGAAAATTTATTTCATCCCTTAACTGGAAGTCTGCATCTGGACCCCAGCCATCAAACAATAAATTGTAAGATCCTTGTTAAATGTCATTTGTGGGTGTGAAAGTTGAAAATGCAAATGATGTAGCATATTGGGCCAGAAGAATAACTCTTCGTTTTAACAGATTATGTTATAATCCAGAGTTAAAACTTTGCCCTTTGGATTTGCAATAAATCAGGTGACAAAAAGGAAGGCAAAATGGTGTGTGGTGTATTTAGGGGAAAATGGCATTGGTAATCAGGATTATTTTTCAATTAATGTACAAAGAGATTTAAATTTAGATTAATGCCACCCATTTCATGTTTTACAGAAAATATTGATGAAGCAGAACGAGAGTGGAAAGCAGGATTCCTTCGCTGGAACAATTACATGATGGACTGGAAAAATCAATTTAATGATTACACTAGTAAGAGGCAAAGCTGCACAGGTCTCTAATTAAAAGTTTCAGCCTTTCTGGAATGCTTGTACTGTCAAAGATCAAGGCAAACATGGAGATAGTTAATGTAGCATATCTAGCAATAAGACATATTAGGCAGGCTCAGTGACCCATTACAAATATACCATTCTTCCAGGCCCATTTCTATTTATATCAATAACTGTTATGAAAGCACTTCCACCTTTTGAAGCATCAGGAAATGTAAAATAGGCTTAAAGCAATTAAAGCCAGAAGATGATTGATGTTGATATAATGGCCCCAGTCCAATAGTAAATTATATGCTCTCTTTAAAAAATCAAGTTGGTTGTGCTAGCTATGAGCGGTGATATTGTTACATATTGGAATATGCAACTCACTTAAAAAGAAGCTTCAAGGGCTAAACCTTCTTTGGCCATTTGGCAAATGGAATTTTGTACCTTCCAGGAATGTGCATACTAGTGCATTCCTCTCCTACACCTATACTGAAATATCTGAAAATAGCTTTGACTGAACACGGTAAGAATGTGGTCAAGCCACTGGCCTCAGAGTACAGTGGACACTGAAACCAGGTATAATCACTTTACAAACTTTTGCTTCAATCCAGAAAGATAAGTATAGGAAGGGGAATATGATCCATTGGTCCACCATAATCAGCCTTTCCAAATGCTTGCAAAAAAAAGAGAGCTTTATTTGACAGTTTCCACAACCTTTTCGTTTGCCCAAGATGACTGTCAATAATGGAAGCTGACACCAGAAACATATAAAAATCAGGTTCCGTATCCCTAGACTTTAGATCTAAATTGAAAGGTGCAGCTGAATGAGCACCTCACTTATGTTGTAATATAATCATGCAACTATAAGAGCCAAGGTGGCGCAGTGGTTAAAAGCAGTACTGCAGGCTACTGCTAGATCAGCAGGTCAGCGGTTCA